CGAGTGCTGCTCTCTCCTGTAAGGTCACTCTTCTTCCTGAGAACTGGTGCAGCTGCTATCTCCTTCCTGAGGACCTTGGGTTCCAGACCAACCGTGAGGAGGGTCAAGTGCAGTCAGCTGCTTCTGCCTGAAGCGGAAGTAACCCAGCGGGTTGGAGAAGAAAAGGGGCAGGTGTCCTGGCTAGCAGATGATAAGTTCTGTGGAGCCAGGTTAGGTCCAAGGACTCATGACTTACTATGTCTTCCACACTGCCTTTCCCCCACCCATTCTCTCTCTCTCTCTCTCTCTCTCTCTCTCTCTCTCTCTCTCTCTCGCTCCCTCCTTCTCCCTCCCTCTCTCTCTCGCTCCCTCCTTCTCCCTCCCTCTCTCTGTCTCTCTCTCTCTTCCATGGCCCCATTCATGGCGTTACATCTCACCAGCAGCCCCAGGTCCCATCTGGTACTACTACGAAGTCCACAGAGACCCAGAATCATCTTGGCTCTGGCTTGCTGGGTTCAGCTCTCATCAGGAGCACTCCTGGAACAATCTCTGTAGGTTGGGTTGAGTCTTATGCTCTACAGTTCCCACAAACGGTGACTGAAAACAGTATGAACTCATTACCTTGTACTCTGGGGGTCCGTAAAAAGCAGGCTGGTAAGTAGCACTCTTCCCTCTACGGTCTGTAGGGAAGGGCATGTGCCTCCCGTTTCCAGTTCCTCAGCCTTGGTCCTTGGCCCCATATCACCAGGCTGCCCTTTTCACACCTCCTTGTATGACCTGCCTCCTGCTTCTGATGTACAAGGACATGCATGGTGATGTTGGTACCCACAAGTAATCCTGTTTTCTTTTAGACCCTGAATGCATGGACTTGACCAAAGTTTAGAATTCAGTGTGGGGAATAGAACCCATGGATTCACACATACTGAGAAAGTGATCTACCACTGGGATATATTCCCAGGCTTAAAAATAAATGAATAAACCTCAGGGTCTCGTTGAGTCCCCCAGGCTACCTTGAATCGATTCTCCTGCCTCGCTCAACATCTTAAGTATCTGGGCTCAGGGGCTGCAGCACTAAGTCTGGCTTGTTGTGAAGGGTTTATTTCACCAAATCGTAATTGTGATATAAATTGTTTTTAAAGCCAGAAATCTGGAGTCTTAGGATGAACTATCGTGACTACAGGATACACAGCTAGGCTCACAGAACATGGAAAGGAACTTAATTAGCTGACTTCCGACCAAGTCCCAGGCATCCCCTACTCTTCGGGATGGGCAGTGGGGGGGAAGAACTTTTAGGATAATGGAAAACTACAAAATGTATTTTGTTCCTGTCTCTTAAATCCCCTAATTTAAGGGAAAACAATCTTCAAAAGAGTCATAAAGTACAGGCAGGGGCAACTGGAGGGGACGTTTAACTGAGATAAACTGCACTGCACTCAACTCTGGGTTTTGAATCAACCCGTAAGAGGCACAGTGTCAAAGCAATGGTCACACATCTGCCGACTGAGACGAAGCAGATGAGAAACAGAGCAGCTGAGGCATGCCCTTGGCTGCAGCTCTGTGGTGTCCTGATAGATGACTCCTCTTGGGACATGTTGATGGCAGAGGCACTCAAGGAAGATCGGGGGATGGATGTTGGTGGACCTCCGGGGGGAGTGGACCACTTACTGTTGTCCTCTTTAGGAGACACATGGTCATCCTTCATTCCTCAGCTTGGCTTTTCATGAAAGGATATGGGAACCAGGAAATTCAAAAGATGCAGGGCCCACCGTCTCGCCAGGAACACACGGGATGGAATGGAGTGTGAGTTCAAGAGTCAGTACCGCTTAATGGGTATGAACTCTGCCCTGGAATGAGATAACACTGAATTCGAACCTGGACTCTGGTAATTCACAGTGCTGTGACGGCAGGCTGGATAGTCTAAACATTCTGAACTAAGTAGAACCCTCACTCCTAGTTTACGGCTGCACTCTCTAAGCTGCATGCTTCCTTCACACCTTGTTTCAAATGGGGTCCTAGAGAGGGAGGCATGTTCTCGCCAGGATTTCTCTGACGGAAAGTGATAAAATCCCACACAATTTTGGCAAGAAAGAATCATGGCCTATTGTAAAAAAAAGTCACGGGTAGTGTAGATTTCAGGTCCAGCTGCGTCTAGAAGCTTAAAACTTAAACTCGGTGTTCCCATCTCTTGAATTCCATTTCCTCTATGTTGGGGTTGTCAATCCTTAGGCATTCAAGGTGCCTCACAGGAGCTGTGGGTATGAGTCCTTTCTTCGCTATAATACCTTGAATAAAGAACTTTCTTTAGGGTCTAGCCAAGGTCTTGAGATTGACTCTGATTTGCCCAACATGGACACATGCCTAATCCAGAGTTGAACTTGTAGCCAGACAGACGGACTGTGTCAGTTGTGTCCTGTCAACACTTCAGACTCAGGAGGTGGAGGACTACCTGGACCAAATGGTAGGCAGGGCCTTAACGAGGACTCAGAATCTCTAGATGCAACAGCAATGTAGAGAGAAGATGTTTGGGGTGAGGATGGGGGGGACACACTCACCACTGTGGCCTTCAAGGTGACTGTTAATGAGTCAACGTTGATATAGTGGGAGACAGAATACTCCGGCAGATGGAGGAGAGATCGATTGGCCTGCTTTCCTCATGACAACCCTCCAGGTTGGTCAAAGCGCAAGAGAATGGGGATGAAGTCTGTGGTGATGTCCTTCTTGTACAAATAAAGCCTGTCTGAAGACCAGAGAATGGAGCTTGCCGCCAGCTAACCATGGAGGTCTGAGGTGTGGCAGTGGCTTTCTCCTTCTCTCTGATCTCAGCATTTTGCTCTATATCTGACCCCCATTTTTATTACTTAGACCAATTAAGAACTCCATTTACGGAAGGCTTTGATTGCTGAAAGCCTCCCTAGGTCAGCCAGTTACCAGAAATGATCCGCTGGCTGGTGGAATTCCTTCATACCAACTTGTCAAAACATGTTGAGTGCTTTGCGAACTTCCACAGGTTGATTTCCTAAACTGATGTGACTTACCCTTCCCAATGCTGGTTCTCTGGTGTAAACACTGCTGCCTTGGGGGTACTGCCATTAGCTCTTCCTTCTTTCCCCTCACCCGGGTTTGTCATTTCCTCCACCCGTTAGAGCCCGGCTTTCCAGGGGTTGGTGGCAGGCAAAGCAGCTTTGTGATTTTGCCGCCCCACCAAACCATCTGAGTTGTGAATTACAGTGTGTTCCAGTCGCGATTTCTTCCCTTTGATTTAACCAAATTAATTTAGAGAGGAATGTTCTATCTCTACAACACAAGAAAAGCCAGCATTGGTTGCCATAAAAATAAAAAAATAAAAAATAAAATAAATGTGTGCACAGTTAAGAGCAGTGCAGAGCATCACTAAACCCCAGCTGGACTCCAGTCCTGCCCACGGCCCAGCCGCTGCCTGCTCTCCTTGGGTACAGAAAGGGTGGTGCTGGTTGGGAAGTTGTTGAGGATATCCCCACTGTTCTCCTGGGACAGCAGCAAGAGCAGAAGACTAGGAAAAGGAGGCCTTTGGGAATTCCTACAATGATGGTGTTCAGGTTACTGTAAGGACCAATTGGAGTGCCACCTCCCTTGAGGGCCAGCTGCCCTGTCTCTGCACTCCCTGTTGGACAATGCTTTCTGCTCTTAACCCTGCTTCTCCACCTTTAGCTTTTCTTATCTCAGCTGGAGTGAAGACCCAGGACACACATTGGTCCAGGCCCTGGTTTGCCTTGGCCCCACCCACAGATGTCAGGGAAGACAACTGGCCGGCCTCTCCGCACCCACAGCTGCAGATGGATAGCTTAACCCCAAGGGAAGAAAAAAAAAAAGATAGATAGATCCCTTGACCTGTTGAAATCCTAAGCCCCAAGAAGGCTGTTTTAGGGGGTGGGGCCTTGGAGGTGACCAGGTTATGAAGGTAGAGCCTTCAGGAATAGGGCTGGCGAGCTGATAAGCAAAGCCCTGGGAGCACCTTGGCCTTCCAGCACAGAAGACCATAGAAGAAGAGCTGTCCACGAGCCAGACAGTGAACCTATGATAGACATAGGGCATGCTTAGCCTTCCAAGTCCTCAGAATTGTGAGCAGTGCCTTCCTGTTTTGTATGTACCCTCAATCGAAAGTGTCTTGTGACATAAAGCAACCCAAACCAACTGACCCCTGCTGGAACCCTTGAAGGCTTCACTCACTCTATTTGCTCTGTGTCAGTAGCTGACAATGGTTGTGAGGCCTCAGTTTCTCTTCTGCGAGGTAGAATTCCCGGTGGGACCTCTCTGCTTGTCTGGTTTGGGCTTCCTCCTGGCACTGTGACTGTGCTCAGCGGACAAATGTCCTAAGAGGCTAAGCCGGTTGGTGAAAATTGTACCCCTTTTGTGGCTTGCCTCTGGAGCCAACCGGGTCACTTCTCAGGATTCTACTTTTTAGAGTGCCAGTCATTAGGAATATTGGGGAGGGGGAGGAGGCAGGGGTGACTTTGAAATCCACCTTTTATGAAGTCAGAGATCTGCAGACCTATTAAAACCACCACCACGGTGCCCTGAGAAGCGAGACTAGCTGTGGGCAGTTGAGGAGTGAGACTGCCTCTGGAGAGAGCCACCTGCCCCTCACCGAGGGAGCAGAGAGGAAATGGGACTCCCCAGGACCGCTACCTCACCCTGAATGGAATCTTTGTGACTTTGGTCTGGTCCCACTTCACCTGCCATCAGGACTTCCAGAGACAGGGAGCTGGCTGGAGCACCCATGAATCAGAGGTGTAAAGTACACCCAAAGCCTTGGCTAGTAGGCCTCAGCAAGGGTCAGCCATGGGCGAATAGGCTTTCCTTTAGACTGATTTCAAACAAACCAGAAGGCAGCAAGCCTTCCATAGACCCTTTCCCGGGTCTTGGAACTCTCCTGGGGTAGGGTTGCTTTGGTCTGGGGAGGGTGTTGCACGTGTGAATCTGAGTGTAAGTGACCAGGGTGCACAGGGGCAGAGGGTGGCCTTCTTGCAGCTGTTCGAGGCCCCCACCCTACCCCACCCACCCACGGGGAGCACAGCGTCCCCGCCTCCCTCTGGCCCTGGGTGCGCCTGGGGCAAAAGAGCCTCTGGTCGGCTCCAGCTGCGCTTGGAAAGCGACCCCCGTGCGCCCCAGGTTCAAAGGCCCGACGCGGCAGCTCCAGCCCCTCGGAGGGGCGGGGAGGCGAAGGGGGTGGTGCAGGAGCCAGAAAAGCCGGAGCCACAGCCAGCCCTGCGCCTGGATGGGCAGCGCGCTCTGAAAGTTCGTGACCGCAGCAGCCAACTAACTCTTAGCCGGGACGTGAAGCTCAGGCAGCAGCAGGACTCGAAAGCTGTACCCGATCCCAGTGTCCTTTCGAGATCACAAGCGGCCACCCTCCAGGCCCGGTGCTCCCGCGCCTGACCAGGGTTCATGGAGCCTGGGCTGTGGCTCCTTCTCGGGCTCACAGTGACCTCCGCTGCAGGTAAGCGGGAGGGGCGGGGCGGCGCGCCTCTCCACGCGGGAGTGCACACAAAAGGAACCCAGGCGCGGATCTGTGCTGCGGGAAAGTTAAACGAGCCTGGCTCTGCACCCTGAAGTCTCCCAGGGGCGGGCAGAGGGGCCTGAAGACACAATGATTACTTCCACTGAGTCTGGGGGTTTCAGCCTGGGAGATTAAGGCTAATCTTTGGGCCCTTTTCGGGAACTGTACAAAAATCGAGTTTTCACCCGTGAAGAGCAAATAGCTTTCAAACTTCACACGGACTGAAAATAGCTCGCAAGTTTTTACTGAGTTTGCACGGCGCTTTGTAAACTTTTCTAGGCATTTGGCTTAGTTTGGAGACTACAGGGGAAATGCAACCAGCCCCCAGACATTGCAGAAGTTTGGTTGGTTCTCATTCCGGTGCGGGACACGGGGGAAGTGGGTGCCAAGAATTCTGTTTCAGTACTTTCAATCTGCCTCCTGCAGGATTTGTGCCTTGCCCCCAGCCTGGGGGCTCCGGCAGCACCAGTGTGTCCCAGGCACCCCCTGAAGCTGGATCGGAGGGGGACTGTGAAGAGACTGTGGCCCCAACAGTTGCACAGCCTGAAAATCCTAGAAGTTCTGGGCAGAAACGGGGACCGGGCAGGTCTGGGGAGCAGGAGGGTCAAGGGGCCCCTGCACACCACCGACCTCGGCGCTGCACGTGTTTCACTTATAAGGACAAGGAATGTGTCTACTACTGCCACCTGGACATCATCTGGATCAACACTCCTGAGTGAGTTGGCCTGAGGGGTAGGGGGCGTGGCTCTGTGCCAGGCCTGAGGTGTCAGGTTCTTTGCATGGACCTCAACCCACCTCAGTCATACCCCTGAATCTGCCTTGATGCAGAGTTCAGATCTTGATGTATCTCCAGCCACCACAAGTCCTATCTAAGGCCAGGGGTGACCCACCTTCCCCAGGACCTGAGGACCTAGCCCTGGAGAAATTCAATCCTGGGTTTGATATGTGGTGGGCAGGGAGCTGGGCAGGGGCTTTGGATGCCTGAGAAGAGCTTGAGATCCTGCCCTGGGCCCAATGGGCTGTGCCTTGCTCTTAATCCTCCTTGGAATTCACTGAAAGCAGCTTGGGGTACTGGGGAGAGCAGGAGGGTGGGCTTGGTAGACCCGGATGGCATCCATCCTGTGAAGTGGTTTCTTCCTTCCCATTCCATCTTGGATGCTAAGAGTGACACATGAGCCTCACATGACTGCAATTCCCCGGGGCTGACCCCAGAGTCCCAGTCATGGCCACAGAGGCCCCTCTGCCCAGACTCAAAATCTCTTACAAGGGCCTAGTGGTAGGGTGCCGATCAGTCTGGGGGCAGCCTTTGGTGAAGAGCACCTTGGGGGGGGCTATGGGAGGGGCTGGCTGTCTTGTCTTCCACTTGGCCCCCACTCAACTTCTGGGGTCATTGTGCACTAAGACACAGCTTGTAGGCAGGCAGATGGCTCGACCTTGCTCCTGCCACTATATCCAGGGTTTGTCTCTGGGTTGCTTGAATCTTGGTCCGGATGGTGCTGAAAGTCAGTCTCCTTGGGTTGTTCTCCGCATCCCCCGGGCATCTACTTGAGCCTGACTGGGAGCTTGGAGATGGCTGAGCGCAAACCCTCAGTCTGGAACGGCAACTAATAGTTCTCCTCTGCGGTTTCCTTTCTGCTGAATCCCATTACGCCCAGGGATGTCTGGGTCGTGGTGTCACTCACCCACCGAGGTATCCCAATGATGAAGTGCACAGGAGAGGGGGTCCCCTGTGTCTTTTGAACCTGGTGACGAGATCTCTGACCACATCCGGATAGGTCTGGAACCTCCCCACTTTGAGTGGCAGACAGAGTTGGCTTTGCTGCCGACCCACCTGGACTCCTGCAGGGGTCCCGGGCGCAGGTGGACCCCGAGTTTGTATAATCATGGCTGCTGTCCTTTACTGAACCAAGAGCTGCTCTGGTCTCACCAGCTTTGTAGATGACCCCAGTGGGCATCATTGACTTTCCTGCGGTGCTTGATGAGGCCCTTGGACAAACCGCCTACAACGGGAGGGTAACAAAGATGTCTATGGGGAAGTCAGGGTTGATTTCTCCTCCGAGAGCCTCAGCCTCCTTTCTTAAAGCCACCAGCACCCTGACCATTGTCCTCCTTGACTCCTAATCATCTGCCATCATGATCCCACCAAATGAGCACCACAGAAACAGGGACATGGGGCGGTCAATAGAGCCTTGGGTCCCGGTCTCGGCTAGAATCGCACAGGAGAAAGAAGGGGCTGAATTGTATGGGACAGACAGGGTGGAGTGAGGAATTGGGAAACACCTTAGGTCTCTGCCTGTCCTCCAGACCCCTGAGCACCACTTGGGCAGGAAGTGAGTCCCTGGGACAAGTCCAGAGGCTCTGTAAACACCCAGAGATATTTGAGATCCTGTGCTCGAGTTTTGGGCTGTCTGGGTTGGTTTGGAGGGAAGCTGTAGATCTGCTCTTGCTAGGACAGCCACCTGGAGGAGTTCCTCTGAGTGTCTGGTTGATCTCTTCATCCCCCCCCCCCACCTCGTTTTATTCTAACCAGTGGAGGGGGGTGGGGGTTCAGTGTCCTGGTCACCCATTCAACTTCGTGGGAAAGAAAAATGAAAGTTGCCAGACTTGAACACTTTGAATTCAGATAAGATAAATATTTTAGCAGGGAGATGTTCCTGAACAGCCTTATTCTCTTTGTGTGTGTGTGTGTGTGTGTGAGAGAGAGAGAGAGAGAGAGAGAGAGAGAGAGAGAGAGACTCTTCATTCCCTTCCTCTGCTCCTTCCTTCCATTAAGTAGATCCATTTTCTATCTTTAAAATACTTGGAACAAGATTACGATGAGAGAAAAAGAACTCAGTGGCCTCCACAGCAATGGAAGAGCCTGCAAAGGTACTGCCTGGCGTGCTGCGAGGTGTGTGGCTTACTACCTACTCCCCGGCCTCAGCGCCTCCTCTCCAGTGGCCCCTTGTCCCTGTCCTTCCCTCATTCCCCAAGTGTCCCCACCAGGATCTGGTTGCCATTGGCCCCCGTGACTGGCTGCTCAGGTTGGAGGAGAACCCTTGTCCTTGTTCCTAAACTAAGGACTTGGACTTTGGGTGTTTCTTCTTCTTCTTCATGGCGTTCCTCTTCAGCCCATTCAGTCATGTGGGGATCACGTCCACCCTCTCCGCCTTTGTCTTTGAAGGACACTAGTGAGGGCCTTTCAAAGACCGTGTTGAGGGCAGGCTTGGTTTTGCACCCCGCACTCTGCAGGAGTAGTGTTGGAAGGTACCATCAAGTCCCGTTCCATACCATCATGGGAAGCTGACTGCTAGTTTCTGCTCAAAGGACCTTTATACTCCCAAGAAGAGCTGAGCTCCCTGAGGTTCGCCCATGTTTCTCATACCCAAGCCCAATCAGCCTTCTCTGGCAGCTCTCAGCACGCTCTATGTGCTCCATCAATGTGGGCTGCCTTGGTCAAACCCAGAACCTGCTTTTCTTCTCCACCTTAACTGACTGCAGCTCCAGTCTCCCAGGAGTTCTCTCTGTCCAGGGTGTGTGACCCTTGTCAGGGTCCTGCACTTCACTGCACTGTGGAGGAGCATGTCTTTCCAAGTGCCTCACCTGCAACTTTGCTTGTGTTCTCCAAAAACACCCACAGCCCCAAAGAAGACGTACGCTCTACCTTTGTCAGTTGCATCTGAGATCATATAACTAACGGACAGTACAGTAGCATCTGCCTAAAACTTGCCTTGGCCGTGTGAGGAACCCCGTTTCCACAAAAGCTACAAGCATTGCCAACAAAGACAGAAACACAATTCGAACCATGGAAAACCCATCCCATTTTGTCCCGAACATTTTTAAAAAACCTAAGGTAGTGAGTAGGTAGGTGATGCATGGGATGTCATGTGTGTAGACACTTGATTGCTTGGGGCTTCCCTGCTTACAGCGTGTCCTTAAAATACATACATCCGACCTTCAAGGCAAGTGTTGGACCACTCAGGTTTCACCAGAGAGGCAGAAGCAATAGGGTGTGAGTGTATAACCTCGTAGAGCCTCTTACGCGATCACAGCTGAAGGCTGCCAATGGCTGCAAATGCCAGTGAGAGACAGAGACACAGACTTGAGACCAAAGGGAGCCCAGGACCAATAATTCCATCTCTGTTAAGGAACCTCACTCTTGACTCTTAAGACTGCCAACTGGCTAGATGAAGCCTATCTAGGTTGTGGAAGGCAATCTGCTTTGCTCAGAGGGCGCTGTGTAAGTGGTAATGGCATCTGAAAAAGACCCTCACAGTGGCTTCTAGATGGGTGGTTCACTAAACAACTGGGCATTGAAACAAAATTAACCCTCTTGGGACATTGGATCTAACATGCCTCACGGAGGTAGTTCCTTCTGAGGTGGGTAGCTGACTGGAAACCAGTCCTGTAAATAGCAACAGAGCAGTCAGGACACCCAGAAAAGAGCCCAATGTGTGCTTCCCCAGTGGGTGGGGGGACCTGCCATCTGTTAATCCCTTAGGGACATCCCAGAGAGGCACTGTGATGCTGTGATGGCTACCATGTTTCCCAAACAAAAACCGGAGCCACATGGCTGACAAGCAGGAATGTATTTATGGAAAGAGCAGGGCAAGACAGCGGGAATCGTGACTGGTATGGCGGAAAGACTGGGAACTCGGATCTCCTGCTCTCTGGTTCTCTCTCCCTCGCTTGCAGGGCAGATCCAGCAGCCAGAGCTCTGCCCCTGAGTTCTGACCTGGCTTGCTTCTCCGTATAGAAGGAAGTGCCTTGGGCTCTCTGCTTCCCCTCTGTAGGGTGAAGATCCTGGTCCAGCTGTGGGGCAGTGACCAAGCGGGCCTCCCTGAGTAACTCCAACTGACATCTCCTAAGGATGTGTGTGCAGCCTGCTGCCCAGCCTTTGCCAAAGCATGCTACACTGACTTAATCCTGCAGGAATGACATTTGTTTTGTGTTCATTCCTTCCCCAAAGAAGAAAAGAGTAGACTGATAATAATAATTAACACAACATTTGAACTTGCATCTTAAAGTCCTCTACCACAGAAAAGTGTAAGCCCTGCTTTCGCTGTCTGTGTTATTCAGGAAAGGCATTTTAGCAAGTTTCTAACAGAAGCTGCCCAACTGTTAGACGGTCCCAATGGAACCTGTGGGTCAGGGCCATGGTTTCCTGCAGACTAGAGACAACCAGGGGATTTGGGGATCCCGATAAATTCCCCTTGTTCTGGGGATCAGTCCTGGGGGTACATTCATTTGAGACAGAAAGGACAGTCTTTGTGGCTGTCGTGGTGTTGGGAACATGTATGGATGACTGACTGGTCCTGATAACAATGGCAATGTGGATTGGTCACACATCACTTTGTGAGAGTTGCACAACTCTGTTTGTGGTCTGTGTAAGTGTGTATCTCCATAGTTTGTAGGAGTTTGAGTCATCTGGAGTTCTAGGGACACTCAGTTCAGTTGTGTGGCTTCTGAATCTGCCCTTCCTCTGTTCACCTTTCCCAGGACAGGCCTCCCTTCTGTGTTGTAGCTAAGCCCTTCATCTATGCATTTGACATGTGTGTGTGTGTGTGTGTGTGCGCGCATGCGCATGTGCGTGTGTGTGCGTATCTGTGTGTTCATATGTGCATGGCTACATTGTCATAGAGGTAGAGGTCAGAGGTCAACGTCATATGTAGTTGTCAGTAATTCTCCACATTCATTTTTGAGACAGGATCTCTCACTGGGGCTTGGGGCTCACTG